TAAACGTTTCGAAACGCTGATTTCATATTCATTTGTCCTTTTTCGTTTCGTGGGTTTTTCTGTTGTTCATAGATACGCGTTGCGCGCGCAAAATGCGTGTATGTTGCTCAGTTTGGTGGCTGTAATTTTATTTTCTTTCAATTTGGTCACTGTATTTGGTTTTCTAAATAGTTTTAGTGAGGTAATTACTTAGATAAAATCCAAATTTTCAATTCGGGAAAAGTAATCTGTTATTTTCGAACAAAAATGTTATTTTGAGATTGATTTGAAAAGAATGCAGCACAATCACACATAACATAAGTGAATCCCGATAATGCTTTGTGAACACCACATACATAAAGGCCCAAGATTCGACCTAATATTGCTCTTAATTGACTTCGCATTTACAATAGTTGATAGAAAGATTTCTCATCAGGCTTTGGAGTTAGATCACGTAAATAAGAGTGGAGTAATGAGTTAGAATTAGAGTACATCCGGATTTTACTTCCCTAGCCTAACAACAACAACAACAACAACAACAAAGAGAGATCTCTCTTGAATAGGATAGATAAAGTTTTTTTTTTTTTAAAAAAAAAAAAAAACTTTACCTCTGCACAATGACAAGCACAACAAAATATATGTAACCCAAAACTGGTGTCATAAAACTTCAATGGCTGCAATAGTTAGCTCCCTTGCATCAAATAGGTTTAATCTTTAGGAAAATTTGGTAATGACTCATTAATATGATTCAAGCTCAAAATTTGAGAAACTATAAATATATATGTGATGTCAAACTACCGAGCATACATAGAGATCAAAGTAAACTGAACAGTTCCTTTTTTGTACAAAATTAAGTAAATGTGTGGGTCCTCTATACTCATCTAGGCATGAGCATTTCTGCTTACAATGTTAGCCATCAATTTTCTGTTGTTAAAGAATTCTGCTTCACCTTCATCAGTGACTATGATACAAATTACAAGGGTGTTGAAATCTGACTTGTATGATCTATATACAAGAAAATCTGCAGAGAAAGGGGATATCCAGACCAACCTACTTCTTCTGAAAAGTCACCATCAGAAAGAAAGCCAGGACACGACTAAGCACGCCAATGACGATAAGGACGACCAGACAAAGAGTCCAATCATCAAGGTCATAGCTTCTTTTCATTAATTGATTGCAGCGAGTAATCAGCCACACCCCAGAGTACCTGATCAAGAAAGTATGAAATCAGCATCCCGATTCGCAACAGAATACAAAAGAAAACTTTGAACACTGGAATTTGTAACAATGTCGATTGTTCCATGGAACAAATTTGCATGCATGTGTAGATTGGTCATAACAAACCTTTCTGCATTTGCAATGAAAAAAGCCTCTAGTGCCCACTTCGTGTAGCAAAAGTTTGCTACACGCTTTGCTACTTCACTGTCTTTCACTTGGTTTGCAATGAGGGTTGAAACAACAGGAAGAAGCACGGACCACTGAAAACAGAAATGATTAGATTTAGAAGAAATATAAGTATTACATACATACATTCATAAGCATGTACTTAGTTTATCAGCTTGATATTCCGATATATACCAGTTGGGCAGGGCTAGGTTCAAGGTAGATGGCAATTGCATAAGCTATGCCGGTCACACAGTACACAAGGCAAAGCAAGACAATGTAATTGTCCTGAAAGGATGACCTTGGGTTATTAAAGAAATAGAACATGGATAGATAAACCAATGGTTTGATGATTGTATTGAAATGGTCCAGCGTATCTTTGGACAGAAAATGAGCCAGACTGCTAATCCCAGATGCACTCTCTCTCCAGTACTGTAATTTGTCCAGAGAAAAGGTTCTCAATGCTGCAATTTTGCATAGCAGTGCTGCAATAAGCAAAATTAAGATTATATCAAATGAGCGAAGACATGGTGAGAAAATTGTCTAGTCTAAAATACTGCGACTTATAGTTATTGCAACATTTTATAACTTTGGCAAGGAAAACTGAGAGAAATAACTCTTTCCAATCTCATCAGTTAAGGCTAAAGAAACCATGTTAGACTCAATATTAACATAGAAAGTTTGTTTCTAAACTTACAAACAGCAATGACAGTATAAGTATAGCCGTGGGCACCAAATGTTTCATCCTTCACTTTACCAAGAGTCCCTAAGATGGCTCCAGCCAGTAATAGAATCAGATAATCAGCTGCCAGCATTTGAGCATCTCGTAGTCGCTGCTTACCAACCCTGAGAGAAATTACCTATAAGAATTTCAGGTTAAAAACTAAAACGTCCTTGGACTTCAACAGCCAAAGAAGGACTATCAATTACACTTCTTCCAAATAAATTGTAGTTTCAATCTTCAATAGGGGCCATCTTTACAGATATTTAGGCAACGCTCAAATGAGTACTAATATTAAGCTGAAAATTGATCAAAGAATGCCCTTTTTGACTCGAGAGTTTCCAAAATTACCAGAAAAACTGACAAACAAAAACAAGCCACCCAAAAGCAAGTTGCATATAAACAGATATGTAACCCCAGCAAACCTGGACGGGCTTCTGGGGATAGTACTGTACCTCCAATAATGTATCAACAACCAGTAGAGAGAATTTGGATTCTTATGCATGTTAAATAAAATTGAATAATGGATGCTATACCTCCCTAGGAAATATCTGTACTGCCGAACTACACCAGGAGTAATTCGGTCGGATAAATCGTTAGACGTGAAGAAGTTATGTTGTAGGTGATCTTTTTTCACCACAACATTAGACTTTACATCCTGCCACATATCTGCAGCAAAAGATTGATCTCGTTTCATTACAGGTTTTGGGCCAGCTGAGCTTGCAGCAATACCATCAAGATGATGCAGCATATCTGGAGGTACTGGGTACCCATTATGAAGCATCCACCTAACGGGAAGTTCTTCATGAGTCACACCTGAGCTTGGTTTTACTATACCCTCCAAAATGTCAATGAAGTGGTCCGGAGGATTAACACGGTCTGGTACAACAATCCCGATGCCAGCAAAGTATTCTTCAACCTTCTTTACAGATCCATGATATACAGTAAGACCTCCTTTGGCTAGAAGAATGAAATCATCAAACATCCTGAATAAGGCATAGCTGTACGAACCGACCCCCAAAAAAAAAAAAAAAAAAAAGAAAAGGATCAAAACACTAACTCTAAGTCAATAAGATACAAAGATAACAGAAGAAAAAGCAACCAATAACGGCTTCTTATTCTTTAACCTGACAATTGATAATTAAATACTTCTCATCAGGAACTTTCCAGAGAAAGAAATAGCAGTACTCAAGTTCAATGCTTTCTTGGGAAAATGCTAAAACAACTATATATTTTCTGACCACATGATGTGGCAGTTGATTGTTCTTAGGAACATGCTTAAGGGACTACATGATGCGGCAGTTAATGCATACTTATTACGTCAATTATTAGGACCAGTTGTTATTAACACATCAACTACCACACCGCATGTTCAGAAATTCTGGTCGCTATATCTCATGCTTTTTGTCGTTTCCTGAAATTTTAGAGAGAGAATACCTTGGTTGGTGAACTACCATGGAGATGTTTACCCCTTCACGAGCTTCACGTCGAAGCGCTTTAAGAAGTAACTGGGAAGATGCACTGTCCAAACCAGTTGTAGGCTCATCCAAGATCAATAATGAAGGTTCCATGACCATCTCTAAGCCAACATTTACACGTTTCCTTTGACCTCCAGAGATTCCTCGCTTCTCCACAGTACCAACCAGGGAGTCTCTAATAGACTGTAGTCCCAAGGACTCAATAACTCTTTCAACAACCAGGACTTTATCAGGTTTTGGCATGTTTGCAGATAGCCTGCAGTATGAAGGGGCCCAGAAACAAAGATGTAATATAATCAGAATGAAGCCAACAAAAAATTGCTGACCTCAATCAAATCGACACAAAACTTACATAGTAGAGTTAAGAATTAATGGCGAAACATAATTGATAAGAATAAATTTTTAGCTAGTAAGGGATAGAAAGTTCTCATATGAATAAAGAGTAAATCATAAATGGTAGCCACTTGACACGCATTCCGTACATGCCTGAGGCTTTTTATGTCCCGAGTGCATTGATTACCTTTTAACGGTAGCCTCATCATTTAGTTTTTTTTGTAAAATGAGAAAAATTGTGTGTGAAATAAGAACATAACATAGAGTATCAAGAGTCAGCCTCAGCCAGCATTTAGAAGTCTGATAAAGGATAAAATGAGAAACAACCAGGAAATATATCCCTTTTTATGATGAATCTTGGCCGGTCAGATTTCATCAATGAAACAAATTCATAGATATGTTTTTATGTAAATATGAGAAAATATGTGTTCTTCAAGCATGATGGAAGAAATAACCGACGAAGTGAATAAATAAAAATGGGTCATACGGAAATCAGAATCTCATCTGTCATAAGAGTACACTGGTACCTTACTAAAAACATCTAGATATAAAAACACCAAGTTTAAAATTGGTATCCTGTAACAGATTTTAATTAGTAAAAGAATTTAGTATTCTCAATATTGGGTTAGTAGGTTTGACTATGGTATATGCTTAATTTGCATCATATGTCTGCCATGAAAATGAAATGCAGGTATACGACAGAATAAATCGCAAATGAAATTACAGACATGTATTAAAATGTGAGGATGTGTAATCATTTACGACAATAATGATACTTATTCACTAGCAATATAAAAACTCCACATATGTATAACTCTGAAGAAGGGAAATAATTAGAAAATGCAGTTAAACTGCTGCGTGAAGTTGTAATGTACATACCTGCACCTTGCACTAAATCGGAGATTCTCCTCCACAGTCAAGTTTCCATGCACAATATCATCTTGAGGCACAAAACCTATTATTTTCTTATATGAATGCATTGGTTCAGATTTTCCATTTATAAGAATTGATCCCGTAACAGTGCATCCAGTTACTTTTCCTGCCAATGCAGAAAGAAAAGTTGTTTTCCCAGCTCCCGAAGGACCCATGACTGCTGAAACTCGACCAGGTAAAAGTTTCCCAGTGACACACCTCAGAAGAGTCTTTTCTTTTCCTTTCAGAGTGAGAGTTAAATCTTTGAAATCTACTTCAATCGTAGGACGGGTCTTCACATCAGTATCGGTAGCCATTTGGATTAGTCCTGTGAAGGTCAAGTTCTTGCTTTGTTGTTGCATAGCTTTCTCCTTCTCAAGTTGCCCATATGCATACTTGAAAATTTGACTGTGAGTATGCAGGTTTTTAACTTTTGGTGCTTGCTTTTTAATATTTTTATCCCCAATCTGTAGATCAAAACCTTCATTACTATTTGGATCATCCTCAAGGGATTGCATCATTTTCGTAAGGTCGCTTGGTTCCTTTTTCTTTCCTTTTGAAGCAGCTGCTGATGACTGCTCCCCACTTAATGTACCGGGTATCTTAGGTGGTAACAAAGAGTCATCAGTACCAGGTTTAGCTTGGCCTAAAACCTTCAATGGCTCTGATTTTGCAGATTTTTTGCGAGAAAATGTTCGGGACATCTGCTCATGCAATCCCGTTCTGCTCTTCTTGACTCCATCTCTTGCAGACTTCCATCTTTCGCGTGCTTTTGCAGTTTCTCGTGCATGTCTTGCTGCAGCTTCCCTGGACTTAGCTGCCCTTTTTTCCCGAATGGCAAGAACTTGATCAGAACAGTTATAAATTACGAGCAGAACAAGACTCAGTAAAACCTACAGAGGCAAGTGAACAGTATTTGATTGATCAATTAGCCCTACATATATATATATATAGATGCATATATATTTGGAGAGAGAGCGAGAGAGGGAAAAAGAGAGAGAGAACGAGAGCATCCAACATCAAATACATCTATAAATTGTCTTGCACATGCAGAAGCATGTTCTGAAGAATCTGAACCTAAACTTGGGAGATTGCTTTACTCATGTCATGCAGTATGTCATTCCATTTTTTGGCTTTTTACTTTTTTATTTTTTTGTTGTCAAAAGGAAAATTACAGAATTTTTTAATGAATATGAGAAAATGTATTTAGAGAAGTTATTATTCAGACAAAACACACACAGGTTTCAAAATTAAACAAATCTTAAGAGAGCAAGATAGCAAGTATTAATTTTTATATTCTTCAATAAGGACTAAATCCAAATTGAAAGCCACAAGGTTCACAACTAAAATTGATCCTCACCTGCTTAAACAATGAACTGCCCAAAACTAGCTTATGATTTTATTTTACAAAATTTGATCCAAGAATATGTAGGAAACACTTACAATAAGGATGATCCCATAAGCATGAATCTTCTGGTTTGCAGTACCACGACCACATGCAGTCAACTTCAAGCACGCTGCAAATGGTCAATTGAGATCAATAAAATATATCAAACCACAACCCTTCTCAGTCAAATGTAGAGTATGCGGCAGAAATCTTAGAGGAGCACAGATTTGTGAAAATGAAATGGTACAGGGCTAAGAGATATGGTCAACAGAAATATCATATGCTGTTACTGAGAGAATATGGTGCATGTAACCTATTTTATTGCATTCATCATAAAATGGTACGCAACTCTTCCTGTATTTTGGTCAAGCACCTAATAGTGCAAAACTAAATATCATTAAACATATAATGACTTTGTGAGTAAAGAAACAAATTCATAACTTATATAAAAGGACAACTCCATATGTGAGCCCCTTTCCTCTTTATAATATTTGAGATTCTGAAACCTCAGTAGCAGAGAAAGGGAGCAAAGTTTGCTAATTCAAAGACACATCTTTAACCAACCAAACCAAGCTATATTCAAGAAAGTAAAAACTCCAATCTAACACCGATTGTCACGAATGGAGCAGGAACATAAGGAAAAAGGTAATGTCTACATTATTAAAAGGCTATACATGGAAGGACTAAACATATAACAAAACTTACAGTTTTCAGCAGTTGAACCCATCCTGCAGTAATGCCTGAAATTGCATGAGAACACAATCTTAGTGAATACAGATGCTGAACACAACTAGTTGCCTAATTCTTAGATCATGCAGCAACACCAAGATGGATTAGATTTATTTCCGAACGACTTTACCCTCAGGGTTTTTTTTTATCTTGGAGTAAATAGCAATAAGTAGCAAGCCGCAATGGCCAAAATAGAAAAGTAGTACGGTGCAAGCAAGTAAGAAAGTTATTTGAGTTCCAGGGATGAGAATCAATACCCACTACTGCAAATATATTTACGTATAGGAGACGGACAGTATGATCCAGCTGAACAGAAAATATCAGTTTTACTGTCAACATCAGCCCAAATATCTGCGCCACCACAAGTATGATTTGGTTCTCCTGCGGGTACTTGGTAACTATATCTGCAAAATTGTATCCAACAATGAATACTAATGCATACTATAAGCCCATAGGAAACCTGAGATAGGAGAGGACAAAAAGGTTGTCAAGACTAGGATATCAACTCACGGGTCACATAATCCAGTCGTTTTGTTCAATGCTGCTCTGGGACAGAAAGAACCTAAAGGACAAGCTTCATTTACAACAAAATTAAAACAAAACAAAAAGGTGTTAGATCATAGATCAATAATTTGCCTACTTTCAAATCAGCTCAGGAGACTGAAATTATGTGGACTGAGAAAATTTGGCATACAGTCCCGAAGTTCTTTATATGTATACTTCTGATTGTATATCAATAAAATCTAAAGAATCATAAACTGCAATGTTCAAGAATTTTATTTCACTTTGCTCAATATACAGACAGATACATTAGCATTAAATGTTATAGACACAATATAATTTTGAACTCAAACAAAGATCACAAGAATGTGGCAAGATAACTATGCATGAACACTTCCAGCCCTCTCAAACAAGAAGCAAGAATTACTGAAAACCCTATCCTAGATCCAAATAAGCACAGAGCTTAAGAAAATGACAAAATAAAAAAGCAGCAGGAAAAAGTGAAGCATCAGCCCAAAAGAAATAACGATATGTTAAATAAATAAATTCATGAACATATATTAATAACAATAAAACTATTTGGACCACATTATAGACCACATCTCTATTAATGATAATGAGGGTGTCATCACATACTTACGTATCATGCACGTAATGCCCTCAGGGCAGAAGAACCCTGCACAACAAGGCTGACAATCCCGAGTTCTAGATGGTATGCTTGAAGCTTTGAGGTCAACCTTCTGGTTCTGGCCGAGACTACAGCCCCAACCAGGCTCACATCCGGAAACCCATGAGGTCAAATTGCAGTTCTTGTTTAGTTTTAAGTAGTTTGAACGTTTTATCGCACCTGCGGTGAAACTCTTGAAATAGGACCTTATTTCTGCTGCTGTACATAGTCTATTAGTGACATCTCCTGGTGATTGAATTACATCTTTCGTTAGGAACTTTACAGAGGTATAAGCTATATGAATACATTTAAAGACAAGTTCTCCAGGAGAAAAGATAACAAGAATGTAGCATGCCATCACATCATTAGAACGAATCAGGGTAGTACAAAACAAAGCATGGACATCACACCAACAGAACTAAGAGCCCCTTTCTCTATTATGGCATTGGCTTTATGTTACCATCCTAGAACACACATGCACTTACAATTAAGGGGGGAAAGACTAGCAAACAAAACACACCAAAACAAATAAAATAAAAAAATAGGGAATTGACTAAAGCTTGTACCACTTGTCTGCTTTATACAATCAGTCAAGAATCCCAGCTTTCCCGTAAAATTGAATGCTCCATTCCAATCATCATCTCTGAAAAGCCAAGAAAAAGAACATCTTAGGTTGAAAACAGGAATTTGTAGCAAAGAAACAAACTAAGGGCAATTAGGTTTTACTCACACATTCTTTATGCAGAAGCCCATATCAGCTTTAAGGTCAGTGCTTAAAGTTTTAGTGATATTTGTAAGCCGGCTATAGATTAGCTGTGTAACCATAGGAAGCACAGCTGGGTTTTTGGTCCTGCTGTAATCATCTCCATTCACACACCGAGTGCGAGGCAATAAGCTTAAAAAAATTATAAGAAACAGAAATGCATGGGGAACCCAACAGGCATTAATCCTCAATCCTCTCATTTCTAGCAGTTGGAGCTCCCCACATTACACATTGTAGCAAAACCATCCAAGAATCCAACTTTCTAATAACACACTCAATGAATATTCTTTTTAATCGCATTCAAATTTGCAGGTGGTCCATGGAAAATTGACCATGGAGGCATTGATCATAATTGCCTGCAACACTCTCTAATGCTTCATCATATCAAGCATATCATGCGATGTTGTGACAAATTGTGAACCCACATGGACCAGGAACACAAAATTGAGTAATGGGCTATCGAAAATGCCAATGGTATTGTGCAGTATACTAAAAGTTCTGGGTTTTTATGGACCAAGAAGAAAGAATGAAGCAAATGGGTATGCTGGAAAGAAAAAATTGAATCTTTTTTTTTTGGTCGAAAGGAAAAAATTAAATCTTGAGAAGTGAAAGAAGGAAAAAACTATTGCAAGTTAGCGTGGGTGCGATGGAGGTTGAAGATGAACGTGGCAGAGGGCTCGAAAGCAACCAGAGCTGAGAAACGGAAAAGATTTTTGGCCAAAGGTCCGTGTGAATTCTGAAGGAGGCCCGGAATTTGGGCTGAGGAAATGGCGGGGAGAAATGTGTGGCCAGCGGCCACATTGAAGGTAGTCAAAACCACATGACTGTTTGTGCGTGAAATTTGTTCCGAGTCCCTCTGTTTCTGTCTATGCCTCTTTAAACACTTGCATAATAGCTGCTTATTCATTGACAACATTTATTTCTTACGTACATTTTTTTTTTTAAACAGTAATTAAAAAAGAGTGTTGTTAAATAAATCTTAAAATTAATTGAGTATATATAGGGATGACAATTTTCCCTGCGAGTAAGGGTCTTCGCGGGGATTTGACCCTAATGGGTCAGGTATGAAGGATAAAAAACAAGTATGGGAATGGGTACGGGAAATTTTTTGGGTGTAGTGTTCGGAGAGGGGTGGGGTTGGTGTTTTAAACCCCGACTTGAACCCTCCCCCATTTAGAATATATATATATATATATTTCCCTCATCCAAACGCACAATTAAAGTGATTGTGCCAACTAAACTTTATATTTCCTATTATTATATTATATATTTATATAACTTATACGAATCTTAAGCCACACTACTCATACATTTAGTTAAATTATAGTTAATATGTAACCATTCTTATATTGTCTTATAAGTATATTATATATATTATATATATATTCATTATCTTGTCCTGATCCAATTTCTTTTCTTTCAACAAAGTAGTTTTATAATAGTTTTTTCTTCCGTAATGAGGCGGGTCGAGGAACCCATTCCCCAACAAAGGTGGAGATAGGGAATCCCAGATATAAATATTGAGGGGATGAGGGAAAAAAGTTTAACGGGGATAGGGATGGAAATGGCATACCCACCCCCAATTCAATCCATTGTCATTCCTAAGTATATCATATGATCTAAGTATACCATAATATTTTAATCAAAATATAAAATTAACTAAGACAATATTAAATACACCTTATTAACTACGAAAAATACCCCTATTACACCATAATACACTCTATAACACCACCTTAATATCAATTAAAAAAACCAGGTTATTATTACTTTATGATCATTGGTTGCATCCAGAATTCCAGCCACGCCATTATCCACATTACCATTTATATTTGTTTTGTTGATTCCACCAAAAGCTCTCTTAGAGCATCTCCAAATGAGATGTCAAATACCAAACATCAAATTTAAATTTGATGGTTGATGTGGCAATTTGACATATTGTAAAACTCTTTATCCAACCAAGATGTCAAATATACATTTTATTTTATTATTTTTAAAGGCAGGTGGGCCCGATATTTAAGAGTAAAATATTAAATAGAGTTAAGAACCATACATGGAAGAGGAGAGAAGAAAGTGGGCTCAGCATTAAAATTATAAATTAAAAAAAGAAAAAAAAAGGAAAAAAAAAAAGAAAAGACATCTCAACATCTTGGCGTCAATTTTGACAGCAAAAGTGAAAGATGTCAATCCAACTAGGATTTGGCATCACGGTTGAAAGGCTTAAAATGTCTTTTTCTTGGGTTAAAACTTGTCACGTTGGAATTGACATTTCGATGAGATGTTGGAATTGACATTTCGATGAGATATGCTCTTATATGACAACGTTTGCAAGGTCATTCCTATTAACCATTTTGCACAGAATAAATCAGTCGAACTTGCTACTCTATTTGTTAATGAATATATGTATTATATATATATATTTATTTATTTATATGAAATATATATAATATTAAAGTTAAATTTCCCGTTGCTGCTAAGGCCAAAATTTATTGAAGAAAATAAAAAATATGGCAACAAGCAATCACCAATTGATAAGTGAAACTTCGTAGAAAGTTATCGAAAAAGTAACTATCGAATTTTACAAATAAACACTAATCAAGCAAATTGAATAAAATTCTAGTAAAAATACAACAACAAAAACAAAAAATTATCAGAAAAAGTAATGGAAGAACCTTCCATCATGTAATTGCGCCTCTATTAGTGCTCGATGCGTTGTTCGTCGTGGACACCAAGCAATGCAAAAACTTTTCTACATTTGATTATGGTTGAATATGGTGAGTAGGGTACACTTATTAAAATTATATATATATTTTTCACAATTCAATATATATCTTTTTGGTCATTTTATATTATGATAAATTACTAATTCAATAAATAGTTTAATAGTAAGTTGTACTCAGTTAATTTTAAGGTTCATTTATTTGCACTATTGAATAATCATCTCTGTTTTTTTAAGTTGATTTTAAGTTTTAAATAAATTTAATAAGTCGGCCTCTATTTGTTTATATGTTGACGCGGTTTATTAATTTGAAATATAGTAAATGTTTTTAATGACCAAAAGCTGTTTGTAATGACCAAAAATTTGGTGAAAACAAAAGTTTCTATTTTTGCAAAATGTTTAGGTTGTAACTTGTATAGTGCAATGTTTTGAAGGTCAGGAAACAAGATGTAAATCACAAACATGCAAACTAAAAGGGACCCTCTTCTTTGTTGATGGAATTAATAGAAATAATAACACCGACGAACACAAATGAAATTATGAACCAACATAATTATAGATGATCAAAAGTCACAAGTTTGGTAGCTCCCACGTCACTTAATAAATAAAATAACAACAAAGATCTTGGACTTTTAACTCTTGACCAAATTAAAATGAGGTACTTTTTACACCATATAGGTAGGATGTTCATGAAGAAGAGATAAATTTGAAACCCATGCCATGAGCCCCTTGACTTTGACATTAATAAAATAATAAGAATTTCATCTCTAATCAATGTTCAAAGTATGGATTAATTTTTAACGTCTAAATTCATCTTGAGATTCTCCGCGTGTGCATTGCCCTTGTATTTCTAACATTCCTGTTCACATTATTAGATTTTTTCTTTTCTTTTATCAACGTCTTGAAAAACTATCCAGCACAGTCCCTATCCTCAAGTCAAGATCAAGAATGACCTTTCTTTGTCCTTTTTTTTTTTTTCGGTCTGAGACCTTTCTTTGTCTTGTTTCGTGCTTTGTCGATAACATGAGAGGCTTCTTTTTTTTTTCGTTACTACAAGTTACAACTTGCAAGTTGCAAGAGCATGAGACGTTTGATTTGTACATGGTTGTAGTTAAACGCAAAGACAGCACCATCAAAAACCCATAAACCATAATCAAATCAAATGTTATGTAAGACTAGAATAACCTTGCTTAAAGGTTTCGTGTGCAGGACTTGTTGACCAATGACCAGTACTCATTCTCATTCTTCTACGTAAGGACTCTCTCTCTCTCTCTCCATTTTGTCCTTTTGGTCTAATTTTCAAAGCCTCCATTCACACTTGGGGTTACATTTACTTGTTGTGAAACCAAAAAAAAAAGATTGATGATTTGCCCATGTTGGTAGATTTATATATATTTAATGTGGGTTTTGAGTTTGGCATTTTGGTTGGTGAGCTTGAGCTGACCGCTAGACTCTAAATGCCGTGTTGAAGCTTCTCTTAAAACTTCAAACCATGGGCTGCGCGTTCTTTCTGTAGCTTCAGAGGTCATTTTGGGCGTCAATGAATTAAATGGGTTTCTCTCATACTTCCTCATACTTTGGAATTGCTGAACTCTAGGAGTCAAGGACAGAGTTTTGTGCAATCAGACTGAGATCAGTAAAGCAAGGTGCTTTTTTTTTTCTTTCCCAGAATTTCAATTATCATCTTTTATCATTGCTTTTTCTCTGTTTCAGCTTGTTTTGTTGGATTGCAATATATCAGTTTGAAACTTTTTGTCTTGGGCCTTGTAAATGAAATGAGAATATCTCTGATTTTGATTTTTCTTGGGTTCTAATAAAGAAGGATAAATAGGGATGGTTTAACATATTTAGTTTCCTTATCTGAAATCTGGGTTGTTAGAAGTAGTTGGATTTATGCAAAAAATGAAAAACACAGTTGATTTTTCATTGATGCTGGTTATTTTTGGGAGAAAAACAGAAAATAAAGGGAAGGCATGAGTTACTTTCTGAGTTAAGGTATTTGGGTTTTCCTTAACTTTTGATTAAGTTACCGAGTAGGTAAAAACTTGGTCACTTGTTACATCCTCTTGGGCACTTGCAAAACACCTGTATTGGGAAGGAAAACTGGCAGTTGTAAAAAGTTTTAATTTTTTATTTGAGCTTTGTGTGATATCTGTTGATCATAAAAGTGGTCACATTTGCAGAATTGGAGAGGGACATTTTGAGTGTTTTCTTATCTTGACTTTTGATGGTTTTGAATTGTTGTTTATTATGGCTCCCTAATTCTAGGGCTCTCTTCAGCTTCTGAATCTTAGGTGAGGGATCATAACGCATAACAACGTTAGGAGCTATGAAGTGCTTCTTATTCTACGTTGGAGAAAAAAAGGATGAACCGAAGAGCACAATTACAACATTTACTGATGGTGAAATGAAGAGATCTGGATCTGAGTTAGATTCCCAGAATATCTCTGATGCGAGCACAGAGTCCATGAGGAGGAACCAATATCCTAGTTTCTCTCAGAGACCCAGCAACCTCAGAGTATTCACAGTTTCTGAGCTGAAATCTGCCACGAAGAACTTCAGCCGCTCTGTCATGGTTGGAGAAGGTGGGTTTGGGTGTGTCTATAAAGGGGTGATTAAGAGTGCAGAAGATCCATCTCAAAAACTTGAAGTTGCAGTGAAACAGCTCAGTAAAAGAGGCTTGCAGGCAAGACTGTTTTTCTATTGGCAAAACTTTAGACAGATTCTTTTTCATCGCCCATGTTAAACTGTTGAGTGATTTATTTGCTGGCTTCAAATGAATTAAGATTAGTGGATGATAATTATGAGATGTATACTAAAGGAAGTACAGTGTTTCTCATTAAGTTTGATAAATAAATAAATAAATCCTAATGGCTCACAATGATATACACATGATAATGATGCATTCACACAAGGAATTTGCTTTTTGATTTGTTCTGATGATTATTAGCACACTGGGTCTTTCGTTCCACCGTTTACAAATACTTG